AAGAAAGAGTTAAAGATGGAGAAGAAGAAGAAAGAGTTAAAGATGGAGAAGAAGAAGAAAGAGTTAAAGATGGAGGAGAAGAAGAAAGAGTTAAAGATGGAGGAGAAGAAGAAAGAGTTAAAGATGGAGGAGAAGAAGAAAGAGTTAAAGATGGAGAAGAAGAAGAAGAAGAAAGAGTTAAAGATGGAGAAGAAGAAGAAAGAGTTAAAGATGGAGAAGAAGAAGAAAGAGTTAAAGATGGAGGAGAAGAAGAAAGAGTTAAAGATGGAGGAGAAGAAAGAGTTAAAGATGGAGAAGAAGAAGAAAGAGTTAAAGATGGAGGAGAAGAAGAAAGAGTTAAAGATGGAGGAGAAGAAGAAAGAGTTAAAGATGGAGAGAAGAAGAAAGAGTTAAAGATGGAGAAGAAGAAGAAAGAGTTAAAGATGGAGGAGAAGAAGAAAGAGTTAAAGATGGAGGAGAAGAAAGAGTTAAAGATGGAGAAGAAGAAGAAGAAAGAGTTAAAGATGGAGAAGAAGAAGAAGAAAGAGTTAAAGATGGAGAAGAAGAAAGAGTTAAAGATGGAGAAGAAGAAGAAGAAAGAGTTAAAGATGGAGAAGAAGAAGAAGAAAGAGTTAAAGATGGAGAAGAAGAAAGAGTTAAAGATGGAGAAGAAGAAAGAGTTAAAGATGGAGAAGAAGAAAGAGTTAAAGATGGAGAAGAAGAAGAAAGAGTTAAAGATGGAGAAGAAGAAGAAGAAAGAGTTAAAGATGGAGAAGAAGAGTTAAAGATGGAGAAGAAGAAGAAAGAGTTAAAGATGGAGAAGAAGAAGAAAGAGTTAAAGATGGAGAAGAAGAAGAAGAAAGAGTTAAAGATGGAGAAGAAGAAGAAGAAAGAGTTAAAGATGGAGAAGAAGAAGAAAGAGTTAAAGATGGAGAAGAAGAAGAAAGAGTTAAAGATGGAGGAGAAGAAGAAAGAGTTAAAGATGGAGGAGAAGAAGAAAGAGTTAAAGATGGAGAAGAAGAAAGAGTTAAAGATGGAGGAGAAGAAGAAAGAGTTAAAGATGGAGGAGAAGAAGAAAGAGTTAAAGATGGAGAAGAAGAAAGAGTTAAAGATGGAGAAGAAGAAAGAGTTAAAGATGGAGGAGAAGAAGAAAGAGTTAAAGATGGAAGAGAAGAAGAAGAAAGAGTTAAAGATGGAGAAGAAGAAGAAAGAGTTAAAGATGGAGGAGAAGAAGAAAGAGTTAAAGATGGAGGAGAAGAAGAAAGAGTTAAAGATGGAGAAGAAGAAGAAAGAGTTAAAGATGGAGGAGAAGAAGAAAGAGTTAAAGATGGAGAGAAGAAGAAAGAGTTAAAGATGAGAGAAGAAGAAGAAAGAGTTAAAGATGGAGGAGAAGAAGAAAGAGTTAAAGATGGAGGAGAAGAAGAAAGAGTTAAAGATGGAGAGAAGAAGAAAGAGTTAAAGATGGAGGAGAAGAAGAAAGAGTTAAAGATGGAGGAGAAGAAGAAAGAGTTAAAGATGGAGAAGAAGAAAGAGTTAAAGATGGAGGAGAAGAAGAAAGAGTTAAAGATGGAGAAGAAGAAGAAAGAGTTAAAGATGGAGAAGAAGAAAGAGTTAAAGATGGAGGAGAAGAAGAAAGAGTTAAAGATGGAGGAGAAGAAGAAAGAGTTAAAGATGGAGAAGAAGAAAGAGTTAAAGATGGAGGAGAAGAAGAAAGAGTTAAAGATGGAGAAGAAGAAGAAAGAGTTAAAGATGGAGGAGAAGAAAGAGTTAAAGATGGAGGAGAAGAAGAAAGAGTTAAAGATGGAAAGAAGAAGAAAGAGTTAAAGATGGAGAAGAAGAAAGAGTTAAAGATGGAGGAGAAGAAGAAAGAGTTAAAGATGGAGAAGAAGAAGAAAGAGTTAAAGATGGAGGAGAAGAAGAAAGAGTTAAAGATGGAGGAGAAGAAGAAAGAGTTAAAGATGGAGGAGAAGAAGAAAGAGTTAAAGATGGAGAAGAAGAAAGAGTTAAAGATGGAGGAGAAGAAGAAAGAGTTAAAGATGGAGAAGAAGAAGAAAGAGTTAAAGATGGAGAAGAAGAAAGAGTTAAAGATGGAGGAGAAGAAGAAAGAGTTAAAGATGGAGGAGAAGAAGAAAGAGTTAAAGATGGAGAAGAAGAAAGAGTTAAAGATGGAGGAGAAGAAGAAAGAGTTAAAGATGGAGAGAAGAAGAAAGAGTTAAAGATGGAAAGAAGAAAGAGTTAAAGATGGAGGAGAAGAAGAAAGAGTTAAAGATGGAGGAGAAGAAGAAAGAGTTAAAGATGGAGGGAGAAGAAAGAGTTAAAGATGGAGAAGAAGAAAGAGTTAAAGATGGAGGAGAAGAAGAAAGAGTTAAAGATGGAGGAGAAGAAGAAAGAGTTAAAGATGGAGAAGAAGAAAGAGTTAAAGATGGAGAAGAAGAAGAAAGAGTTAAAGATGGAGAAGAAGAAAGAGTTAAAGATGGAGAAGAAGAAGAAAGAGTTAAAGATGGAGAAGAAGAAGAAAGAGTTAAAGATGGAGGAGAAGAAGAAAGAGTTAAAGATGGAGGAGAAGAAGAAAGAGTTAAAGATGGAGAAGAAGAAGAAAGAGTTAAAGATGGAGGAGAAGAAGAAAGAGTTAAAGATGGAGAAGAAGAAAGAGTTAAAGATGGAGGAGAAGAAGAAAGAGTTAAAGATGGAGGAGAAGAAGAAAGAGTTAAAGATAGAGGAGAAGAAGAAAGAGTTAAAGATGGAGGAGAAGAAAGAGTTAAAGATGGAGAAGAAGAAGAAACAGTTAAAGATGGAGGAGAAGAAGAAAGAGTTAAAGATGGAGGAGAAGAAGAAAGAGTTAAAGATGGAGGAGAAGAAAGAGTTAAAGATGGAGAAGAAGAAAGAGTTAAAGATGGAGGAGAAGAAGAAAGAGTTAAAGATGGAGGAGAAGAAGAAAGAGTTAAAGATGGAGGAGAAGAAAAGAGTAAAAGATGGAGGAGAAGAAGAAAGAGTTAAAGATGGAGGAGAAGAAAGAGTTAAAGATGGAGAAGAAGAAGAAGAGTTAAAGATGGAGGAGAAGAAGAAAGAGTTAAAGATGGAGGAGAAGAAGAAAGAGTTAAAGATGGAGGAGAAGAAAGAGTTAAAGATGGAGAAGAAGAAAGAGTTAAAGATGGAGGAGAAGAAGAAAGAGTTAAAGATGGAGGAGAAGAAGAAAGAGTTAAAGATGGAGGAGAAGAAGAAAGAGTTAAAGATGGAGGAGAAGAAAGAGTTAAAGATGGAGAAGAAGAAAGAGTTAAAGATGGAGGAGAAGAAGAAAGAGTTAAAGATGGAGGAGAAGAAGAAAGAGTTAAAGATGGAGAAGAAGAAGAAAGAGTTAAAGATGGAGGAGAAGAAGAAAGAGTTAAAGATGGAGAAGAAGAAAGAGTTAAAGATGGAGGAGAAGAAGAAAGAGTTAAAGATGGAGGAGAAGAAGAAAGAGTTAAAGATGAGGAGAAGAAGAAAGAGTTAAAGATGGAGGAGAAGAAAGAGTTAAAGATGGAGAAGAAGAAGAAAGAGTTAAAGATGGAGGAGAAGAAGAAAGAGTTAAAGATGGAGGAGAAGAAGAAAGAGTTAAAGATGGAGGAGAAGAAAGAGTTAAAGATGGAGAAGAAGAAAGAGTTAAAGATGGAGGAGAAGAAGAAAGAGTTAAAGATGAGGAGAAGAAGAAAGAGTTAAAGATGGAGGAGAAGAAGAAAGAGTTAAAGATGGAGGAGAAGAAGAAAGAGTTAAAGATGGAGGAGAAGAGAAAGAGTTAAAGATGGAGGAGAAGAAAGAGTTAAAGATGGAGAAGAAGAAGAAAGAGTTAAAGATGGAGAGAAGAAGAAAGAGTTAAAGATGGAGGAGAAGAAGAAAGAGTTAAAGATGGAGGAGAAGAAAGAGTTAAAGATGGAGAAGAAGAAAGAGTTAAAGATGGAGGAGAAGAAGAAAGAGTTAAAGATGGAGGAGAAGAAGAAAGAGTTAAAGATGGAGAGAAGAAGAAAGAGTTAAAGATGGAGGAGAAGAAGAAAGAGTTAAAGATGGAGAAGAAGAAAGAGTTAAAGATGGAGGAGAAGAAAGAGTTAAAGATGGAGGAGAAGAAAAGAGTTAAAGATGGAGGAGAAGAAAGAGTTAAAGATGGAGAAGAAGAAAGAGTTAAAGATGGAGAAGAAGAAGAAAGAGTTAAAGATGGAGGAGAAGAAAGAGTTAAAGATGGAGAGAGAAGAAAGAGTTAAAGATGGAGGAGAAGAAAGAGTTAAAGATGGAGAAGAAGAAAGAGTTAAAGATGGAGGAGAAGAAGAAAGAGTTAAAGATGGAGAGAAAAGAAAGAGTTAAAGATGGAGAAGAAGAAGAAGAGTTAAAGATGGAGGAGAAGAAGAAAGAGTTAAAGATGGAGAGAAGAAGAAAGAGTTAAAGATGGAGAAGAAGAAGAAAGAGTTAAAGATGGAGAAGAAGAAGAAAGAGTTAAAGATGGAGGAGGAGAAGAAAGAGTTAAAGATGGAGAAGAAGAAGAAAGAGTTAAAGATGGAGAAGAAGAAGAAAGAGTTAAAGATGGAGAAGAAGAAGAAAGAGTTAAAGATGGAGGAGAAGAAGAAAGAGTTAAAGATGGAGGAGAAGAAGAAAGAGTTAAAGATGGAGAAGAAGAAGAAAGAGTTAAAGATGGAGAAGAAGAAAGAGTTGAAGATGGAGGAGAAGAAAGAGTTAAGATGGAGAGAAGAAGAAAGAGTTAAAGATGGAGGAGAAGAAGAAAGAGTTAAAGATGGAGGAGAAGAAAGAGTTAAGATGGAGGAGAAGAAGAAAGAGTTAAAGATGGAGGAGAAGAAAGAGTTAAAGATGGAGAGAAGAAGAAAGAGTTAAAGATAGAGGAGAAGAAGAAAGAGTTAAAGATGGAGGAGAAGAAAGAGTTAAAGATGGAGAGAAGAAAGAGTTAAAGATGGAGGAGAAGAAGAAAGAGTTAAAGATGGAGGAGAAGAAGAAAGAGTTAAAGATGGAGGAGAAGAAAGAGTTAAAGATGGAGAAGAAGAAAGAGTTAAAAGATGGAGGAGAAGAAGAAAGAGTTAAAGATGGAGGAGAAGAAGAAAGAGTTAAAGATGGAGAGAAGAAGAAAGAGTTAAAGATGGAGGAGAAGAAGAAAGAGTTAAAGATGGAGGAGAAGAAGAAAGAGTTAAAGATGGAGGAGAAGAAAGAGTTAAAGATGGAGAAGAAGAAAGAGTTAAAGATGGAGGAGAAGAAGAAAGAGTTAAAGATGGAGGAGAAGAAGAAAGAGTTAAAGATGGAGGAGAAGAAGAAAGAGTTAAAGATGGAGGAGAAGAAGAAAGAGTTAAAGATGGAGGAGAAGAAGAAAGAGTTAAAGATGGAGGAGAAGAAAGAGTTAAAGATGGAAAAGAAGAAAGAGTTAAAGATGGAGGAGAAGAAGAAAGAGTTAAAGATGGAGGAGAAGAAAAAGAGTTAAAGATGGAGAGAAGAAGAAAGAGTTAAAGATGGAGGAGAAGAAGAAAGAGTTAAAGATGGAGAAGAAGAAAGAGTTAAAGATGGAGGAGAAGAAGAAAGAGTTAAAGATGGAGGAGAAGAAGAAAGATTAAAGATAGAGGAGAAGAAGAAAGAGTTAAAGATGGAGGAGAAGAAAGAGTTAAAGATGGAGAAGAAGAAGAAAGAGTTAAAGATGGAGGAGAAGAAGAAAGAGTTAAAGATGGAGGAGAAGAAGAAAGAGTTAAAGATGGAGGAGAAGAAAGAGTTAAAGATGGAGAAGAAGAAAGAGTTAAAGATGGAGGAGAAGAAGAAAGAGTTAAAGATGGAGGAGAAGAAGAAAGAGTTAAAGATGGAGGAGAAGAAGAAAGAGTTAAAGATGGAGGAGAAGAAGAAAGAGTTAAAGATGGAGGAGAAGAAAGAGTTAAAGATGGAGAGAAGAAGAAAGAGTTAAAGATGGAGGAGAAGAAGAAAGAGTTAAAGATGGAGGAGAAGAAGAAAGAGTTAAAGATGGAGGAGAAGAAGAAAGAGTTAAAGATGGAGGAGAAGAAGAAAGAGTTAAAGATGGAGGAGAAGAAAGAGTTAAAGATGGAGAAGAAGAAAGAGTTAAAGATGGAGGAGAAGAAGAAAGAGTTAAAGATGGAGGAGAAGAAGAAAGAGTTAAAGATGGAGAGAAGAAAGAGTTAAAGATGGAGGAGAAGAAAGAGTTAAAGATGGAGGAGAAGAAGAAAGAGTTAAAGATGGAGAAGAAGAAGAAAGAGTTAAAGATGGAGGAGAAGAAAGAGTTAAAGATGGAGGAGAAGAAAGAGTTAAAGATGGAGGAGAAGAAGAAAGAGTTAAAGATGGAGGAGAAGAAGAAAGAGTTAAAGATGGAGGAGAAGAAAAGAGTTAAAGATGGAGGAGAAGAAGAAAGAGTTAAAGATGGAGGAGAAGAAAGAGTTAAAGATGGAGAAGAAGAAAGAGTTAAAGATGGAGGAGAAGAAGAAAGAGTTAAAGATGGAGGAGAAGAAGAAAGAGTTAAAGATGGAGAAGAAGAAAGAGTTAAAGATGGAGGAGAAGAAAGAGTTAAAGATGGAGAAGAAGAAGAAAGAGTTAAAGATGGAGGAGAAGAAGAAAGAGTTAAAGATGGAGAAGAAGAAAGAGTTAAAGATGGAGGAGAAGAAGAAAGAGATAAAGATGGAGAAGAAGAAGAAAGAGTAAAAGATGGAGGAGAAGAAGAAAGAGTTAAAGATGGAGAGAAGAAGAAAGAGTTAAAGATGGAGAAAGAAGAAAGAGTTAAAGAGGAGGAGAAGAAAGAGTTAAAGATGGAGAAGAAGAAGAAAGAGTTAAAGATGGAGGAGAGAAGAAAGAGTTAAAGATGGAGAGAAGAAGAAAGAGTTAAAGATGGGAAGAAGAAGAAAGAGTTAAAGATGGAGAAGAAGAAGAAAGAGTTAAAGATGGAGGAGAAGAAGAAAGAGTTAAAGATGGAGGAGAAGAAGAAAGAGTTAAAGATGGAGAAGAAGAAGAAAGAGTTAAAGATGGAGAAGAAGAAAGAGTTGAAGATGGAGGAGAAGAAAGAGTTGAAGATGGAGGAGAAGAAGAAAGAGTTAAAGGAGGAGAAGAAGAAAGAGTTAAAGATGGAGGAGAAGAAAGAGTTAAAGATGGAGAAGAAGAAGAAAGAGTTAAAGATGGAGGAGAAGAAGAAAGAGTTAAAGATGGAGGAGAAGAAAGAGTTAAAGATGGAGGAGAAGAAGAAAGAGTTAAAGATGGAGGAGAAGAAAGAGTTGAAGATGGAGGAGAAGAAGAAAGAGTTAAAGATGGAGGAGAAGAAAGAGTTGAAGATGGAGGAGAAGAAAGAGTTGAAGATGGAGGAGAAGAAGAAAGAGTTAAAGATGGAGGAGAAGAAGAAAGAGTTAAAGATGGAGGAGAAGAAAGAGTTAAAGATGGAGGAGAAGAAGAAAGAGTTAAAGATGGAGGAGAAGAAAGAGTTGAAGATGGAGGAGAAGAAGAAAGAGTTAAAGATGGAGGAGAAGAAGAAAGAGTTAAAGATGGAGGAGAAGAAAGAGTTGAAGATGGAGGAGAAGAAGAAAGAGTTAAAGATGGAGGAGAAGAAGAAAGAGTTAAAGATGGAGAAGAAGAAGAAAGAGTTAAAGATGGAGGAAAAGAAGAAAGAGTTAAAGATGGAGGAGAAGAAGAAAGAGTTAAAGATGGAGGAGAAGAAGAAAGAGTTAAAGATGGAGGAGAAGAAGAAAGAGTTAAAGATGGAGGAGAAGAAGAAAGAGTTGAAGATGGAGGAGAAGAAGAAAGAGTTAAAGATGGAGGAGAAGAAGAAAGAGTTAAAGATGGAGAAGAAGAAGAAAGAGTTAAAGATGGAGGAGAAGAAGAAAGAGTTAAAAGATGGAGGAGAAGAAGAAAGAGTTGAAGATGGAGGAGAAGAAGAAAGAGTTAAAGATGGAGGAGAAGAAGAAGAAAGAGTTAAAGATGGAGAAGAAGAAGAAAGAGTTAAAGATGGAGGAGAAGAAGAAAGAGTTGAAGATGGAGGAGAAGAAGAAAGAGTTAAAGATGGAGGAGAAGAAGAAGAAAGAGTTAAAGATGGAGGAGAAGAAGAAAGAGTTGAAGATGGAGGAGAAGAAGAAAGAGTTAAAGATGGAGGAGAGAAGAAAGAGTTAAAGATGGAGAAGAAGAAGAAAGAGTTAAAGATGGAGAAGAAGAAGAAAGAGTTAAAGATGGAGAGAAGAAGAAAGAGTTAAAGATGGAGAGAAGAAGAAAGAGTTAAAGATGGAGGAGAAGGATGAAACAGACAACAAAGGAGAAGGACATAAGAAAAGAATGGATGAATGAGGTGAAGAGGAAGTGGATGACATCATGAGGCGTTCACTGACCCTCGAACAGCTCAGTGTTGTCGATCTGACCCGGGAAGGACGACGAGTTCTGGTCTCCGGTCTCCACAAACTCCTTCCACTGTTCATACCAACGACGCTCCACCACGTACCTGACACACACACACACACACACACACACACACACCACACACACACACACACACACACACACACACACACACACACACACACACACACACCACACACACACACACACACACACACACACACACACACACACACACACACACACACACACACACACACACACAGTGAATAAACAGCACTCCCTTCTCATTCTGACACTTCAGCTCTTTGACCTTTGACCTTTAGATTCAAACATGATGCTCCAATAAAAGGAAGTGATGATAAAGACGAGGAGAAACAAACATGAAAAATATCAGGATAACAAGGCGGCCATGTTGAACTCTTATGACCTAAATAAAGACACAGAGGGTGTGTTTGAATTGTCCCTCCTGTCTCCTTCACTATCCACTTCACCTTTAACCTCGGGGAAAAGGTCATGAGGTCAAGGAAAGGTGTTAGGAGAAGTCATAAAGGACTTAGGGAAAGGAGATCTCGTTCTGACAATCCGACCACATTTCCACTAGGCCACGTCATTAAATGTGACGGGCCGGCGGAGGTTAATGACGTGGGTCTGCCGTGTTGAAACTACAATGTTCAGATAATGAACTACAAAAAGATCATCTAAAAAACTCTTTCTGTGCTTCTTACCGGTGAAATAATCCTGAAATAAAAGAAATATAGACGACCAGGCTACAAGTAAGAAAAGTGAAACCATCAGCTTCCTGTCCAATCAGAAATCAACATCAACATCAATATGATTGGATGAAATGAATTGTTACATTAATGTAAGATATAACCTACACATAATGTTTTAAACATACAAATGTACAGCAGCACAAAACAAGAGAATGAAATATGTTGAATCAAACATCCTCTGATAAAAATGTCTCTTATCTTTTATCTCTTTACGATCATCGTTAATGTTCCTGAACGGTCGGATGACGTCATATCTCATCTCCTTTCCTAAAGGATGGTCCAGTGTATCCTAAAGGAGGTTATCAAGGAAGCATTGACCCACCTTTCCTTAACTTTTAGAGAATTCAAACGGCTCTTATCATGGCCGCCACTGAAATGCTTCCGGGGTTAAAGGTGAAGTGGATCGTGAGAGGAGACAGGAGGGACAATTCGAACGCACCCTCAGACTTTGAGACAGCGTGATGACCCTCCATCGTCTGCTTTGAGACACTTTCAGATCCTCAGACCTTTGGTGCCCCCCCCCTCAGATCTTTGGTGCCCCCCCTCAGACCTTCGGTGCCCCCCCTCAGATCTTTGGTGCCCCCCCCCTCAAGACCTTTGGTGCCCCCCCTCAGACCTTTGGTGCCCCCCCCTCAGACCTTTGGTGCCCCCCCTCAGACCTTCGGTGCCCCCCTCAGACCTTTGGTGCCCCCCCCTCAGACCTTTGGTGCCCCCCCCTCAGACCTTCGGTGCCCCCCCTCAGATCTTTGGTGCCCCCCCTCAGATCTTCGGTGCCCCCCCCTCAGATCTTTGGTGCCCCCCCCCCTCAGACCTTCGTGCCCCCCCCTCAGATCTTTGGTGCCCCCCCCCTCAGACCTTTGGTTGCCCCCCCCCCTCAGATCCCCCTGGGGGTCCAGCTCCACAGGTTGTTAGAGAAACTCTTTAACTCTCAGCTAACTGACAGGCTAACGCTGTTAGCATCTCCAGCTAACGCTGTTAGCATCTCCAGCTAACGCTGTTAGCATCTCCAGCTAACGCTGTTAGCATCTCCAGCTAGCGGTCAGTCTGCCTACATTAGCATAAGCTAACAGCAGCTAGCAGGTACAGGTGAACATAGTGAATAACCCACGGGTCGTGTTCACGGCCCTGCTCCCTGTGTGTTGTGTGTGTGTGTGTGTGTGTGTGTGTCTCACCAGCTGTCCCCCGCACGGAGCTCGGTGTCCCGCAGCAGAGACAGGATGTCCCGGCGCTGGGTCTCCAGGCCCGGAGGCTCCGAGGCCGTCATGACGTCATCAAAGTGTGATGGAGAGAATAAAGAGAATAAAGAGAATAAAGAGGATAAAGAGGATAAAGAGAATAAAGAGAGGAGCAGTGATCAACACAGAAACAGGGAAGCTGCACAGAGCTGTGTTTGCGGAAGTAGGAAGTGTTTGGACTCGGAGAATGACAACTTCCGGAGTAACCCCCCCCCCCCCAGTAGAGGGCAGCATACAAAATGTCTTTTATTACATTTAAATTAAAAAACAGAAAGAAATATAAACAAATATCAAGTGAATAAAGTTTAGAGGTTAAACGATCTGTAGTTTAAAAAGAATGAAAGGAGAGTCATTTATTAAGAAATGATCAAATTAAACCTTTTCATTTATTAAGAAATGATCAAATTAAACCTTTTCATTTATTAAGAAATGATCAAATTAAACCTTTTCATTTATTAAGAAATGATCAAATTAAACCTTTTCATTTATTAAGAAATGATCAAATTAAACCTTTTCATTTATTAAGAAATGATCAAATTAAACCTTTTCATTTATTAAGAAATGATCAAATTAAACCTTTTCATTTATTAAGAAATGATCAAATTAAACCTTTTCATTTATTAAGAAATGATCAAATTAAACCTTTTCATTCATTAAGAAATGATCAAATTAAACCTTTTCATTTATTAAGAAATGATCAAATTAAACCTTTTCATTTATTAAGAAATGTTAAAGTTTGGTTCTTCACATGTTCATCTGTTTCTCTGCTTTATCAGTAACATTAAATTACCAACACTGGCCTGAGGGGGGCAGCCCTGAGCCACCTGACTGCCGGTGTTATGTCGAGAAAAGCATCCATGCAGAGTGCAGACTCAGACTGTCCGCGGATCATTAAAATGTTTCTGTCACAGAGTCACAGAACAAAAAGCACACTTAACGTTTATTTACTATAAACTTCACCAACTTCATCATCACAAATCTGACAAAAATAAAAATGTTACAGTTTTTGAATACTTCCGCGAAGTGCGAGTGATTTTCAGAAAGGGATGCATTTCTCGGCATAACACCGGAAATCCAAAAGAAGAAGATGAATTTTCGACCAATGAGATGTGAGTTTACTGTCACGTGGTTTCCGGAGAGGGAAAAGTCCCGCTGCAGTTCGCGGGCTGACAGACTGACGGCATTATGGACGTGGAGATGGCAGAGACGAACTGTGAGAACAAACATGTGTACAGCGGACACAAAGCGGACACGGAGGCCGGGGAGAGCTCGTCCAAAGGCTCCGGGACTTCCTTCGAGCTGCCCTGGGTGGAGAAGTACAGACCCCTGAAGCTGAACCACATCGTGGGGAACGAAGAGACCGTGAGCCGGCTGGAGGTGTTCGCCCATGAAGGGAACGTCCCAAACATCATCATCGCAGGTCAAACACCAAAATAAAGACACGCACACACATCGCGAGAATACCGTTTTTATGTGATGAAGACGTCACGTTAAAACTGTTTTTATAAAGACGTCACGATAAAACTGTTTTTATAAGACATCACGATAAAACTGTTTTTATAAAGACATCACGATAAAACTGTTTTTATAAAGACATCACGATAAAACTGTTTTTATAAAGACATCACGATAAAACTGTTTTTATAAAGACGTCACGATAAAACTGTTTTTATAAAGACATCACGATAAAACTGTTTTTATAAAGACGTCACGATAAAACTGTTTTTATAAAGACGTCACGATAAAACTGTTTTTATAAAGACGTCACGATAAAACTGTTTTTATAAAGACGTCACGATAAAACTGTTTTATATCATAAAGACATCACGATAAAACTGTTTTTATATCATAAAGACATCACGATAAAACTGTTTTTATATCATAAAGACGTCACGATAAAACTGTTTTTATATCATAAAGACGTCACGATAAAACTGTTTTTATAAAGACATCACGATAAAACTGTTTTTATAAAGACGTCACGATAAAACTGTTTTTATATCATAAAGACGTCACGATAAAACTGTTTTTATAAAGACATCACGATAAAACTGTTTTTTTATCATAAAGACATCACGATAAAACTGTTTTTATAAAGACGTCACGATAAAACTGTTTTTATAAAGACATCACGATAAAAACTGTTTATATCATAAAGACGTCACGATAAAACTGTTTT